CCCCATATATATTGTTATTTCCCCTCCCTCTACGGTTTCAATCCAGCGGCGGATCTAGAATATGGTAGCACTGGGACACGTTTAAAAAAGAGGCAGAGTGCACTAGGTCGTGGCCCGATGAGAATATAAACAAATATCTAAAATCGGAAATTTACAAAGATTACATTAGCTCCGGATCCGGGAGTGGCTCGTTTGCAAAAAAAAAAAAAAAAAAAATTCCAAAACAGACCCAAATGTGTTTACCCAAATTAGATCAATTCAAACACAATCCATCTGAATCATAACAATTGGATCCAATTATCCAACAAATCGACCCATTGTCATTCCTAAACTCGAATCATAACCAAAAGTCTGAACATTATTGTATGGTCTAGCTAGCTAGCTCAAACAACCACACCCATGGGCTGACCAACTACTTTAGTGGCAACTATGAGACAGAAATCGTGCATATTGCTGGACGTCAAGATCAGCTCATCAATATTGAATCCTAGTATAATTACCTCCAGGGTGACAAAAAAGGATGCTCGAAAGTGACAGATTATTATTATTATCATAATTATAAAGTTGGATATATAATTAAGATTAAACATTAATTATGTGCATGTCCAAAGACAATGAATATTTGTCGGCCCTATGTACCTTGTTCAACAAAATGGGAGACAATGAGTGGCCCAATCCAAATACATAAATATTAAAAAAGTGTATAATTGACGTAGGTAATGATAAAAAAAAAGGTTACTTTCACTTCAATAATTAACTAATGGGACTGGGCTTTTGCTTCGGGGCGAAATATGGAACGGATGAATGTACTTAGCTAGAGAAGGAAGCTTCTTGGAACCATCCAAACACTTAACAAAACGTCACTATTTCATTTACTAATTCGGTTTTACGACCTAATTGGTGTCAAATGTTTATCCTTGGGTCACAAATGAGACTCGTTTCTTTACTTGATGAAACCAAAGTTTCGAGAGATCATAGGTTGGAATCACATAAAAAAGTGTATAATTGATTCAACAAAAAAAAAAAAGTGTATAATTGACGTATCATATAGTCTAAAAACATAACAATTATTGATTCAATAAATATTCACCACTTAATAGGCGGAGAGTTAGAGATAGTTGTTTATAGTTGTCTGATGTATGTAGAGAGTTGATGGATTATACTCGGCTGAACTCAGTGAGGCAGAGTTTTGGACTATAACGTAATCCATCAAGAACATAATAGCTCGATATGGAGATTGAAGGTTTCTAATATTGTATTTCTAGTCTCTTATTATTATTTTTTTTATCACAATACTAGATATCGATAATATCTAATTGTTTTTCAGACGATTGTTTCGACTAAATTTTGATTATAATCTTGGTTACTCTTTATTGAGGTTTGGGCCTATCGAGTATAGAGTGAACGGGCCATAAAAAGGCCATTTGTACTAGGCCACCCAAATTTATCATTGGGCTTTATAGGACTCAATCAGCTGCTAATGTCGTTGGGCTTGGTTTTTCCATTGAGCAGGCCAAGTCCACCGATGGCAATCAAAGTATCAAACCAGGACTCAAATCCTTGCATTAATGCTATCAAGTTAGATGTCTTCCTAACTAGAGGAGATCAAACAAGTTACAAGTGGACTCTGAATTAGAGCCACCACATTATTGTTATCGATATGAATTTAGTAATTTTGATTGCACCACTTTTCATAACGAATCGTGAAATGGTACTAGAGATCGAATTGACAAGGTTAGCATTTCAAAGAAGTCTATAACGAAAACTTACGTTCTAAGGTTGATCAAACATAGATTCCGAAGTAGGGGAAAGATAACTTAGTTGTAATTTTACAATGTTTGCTCAATATGTTCATATCCACATTATAATCTCATATTAAATATTGATATAAGGACGAATCTAAGAAATCATCAACATGTCAAATCAAACCAAAGGTACTTTATGAGAGAATCTCAATTTCTCAATAGTTTTATCCTGTTGTAGTTTGTTTCTTGCATTTTTCATATAAATATTATTTATATTATTTTTTCTTTAAATTATATCCTCGGTTATTATTAATTATAAATAATATAGTATTAGGGTTGGATGTAAAAGTACTAAAATAAAGAAAGAGAGATGGAAACCGAAAGATGGAACGAAGAGGAAGTTGAACAAATTATCATTATAATTAATTAGGTTTCACGTTGGTCTCACGCAATATTCTCATAATATCAAACAACTTATCAATCCATAACATACCGGAAAAAAACCATCCGATATTATAAATGGTTCACGATTTTACTTAATCTAGCACACTGATTAGGTTCTAATAAAAAAATTCATATGTTGGATTTTTTTATTTTGGTATAGTGTCGTGTTCTTTTGTTTATTCTCCCTCTCTACTTCTTTTAGTTATTTTGGACTTGTAGGCTGCCTTGCTCTTTGTTTTTCTCTCCGCTTTGCTGCATGATATATACGTGTTGAAAGAACAAATGAGGTATATGGTTAGTGAACAGTAAAATGTATATAGGTTTATATATAGTAACTAGGTGGCGATGTCGCGCCTTGTCGCGTGGCGGAGATGGTATATGGGCATGTATTATGTGGTCCGTTTGGTGTTTTGTTTGTCTTATTAGTCTAAAATTAATTTTTTGTTAGCAGTTTTGTTAGTAATATCGACTTGACAATATGATGTTGACTGAGAAGAGATATATGGTGGTCAATATCTAATTTTAAAAAAAATTAAAAAATTTTACCAATAAATGATATTTACCTACACCCAAGTAGACCCATTGATTATGGGTAGGGCAGGGATGACGTATATATCAGTTTGGAAGTTTGTAGATGAATTTGGACAGAGTATGGATATTTCCTATCAAGGGTGTTTTAATTACACATACAAAAATTATAACTATTTGTAGAACTTCAAAAGTTTAGATACTAAAATTTAATACAAAAAAATTTAGGTACTAAAATGGTATGTTCCATCAATATTTGAGGACTTACATGGAAAAAAATAAATTTAGGTTATAAATCTAAAGATCTATGAAGTTTAGTTATCAAACTATAATTTGCATAGTTGAGACTTAATTGTTTTTATGGTAATGTATTTAAGATGATAATTATTTACTTTTTTACAGACAATAGGAAACCATATATTTTTTATGTATTATTGTTGAAAATTCCATTTATAATTGTTAAAAATTCTAGTCTAGGTGAAAAAGAAAGACTCTAGAGAGAAGCAAAAAGAATACAAACTGGAACTCGCTTAAAATTTGACGCCTTCAAATCCCATAGTGGAAAATGACGACTTTCTAATAAGTAATAACCATGTATATTTATTTTTAATTGGACTCGACATTGAGCTGAAAAAGATAGCGGTTCATTGTTAAATTATTAATTCTCTAAAGTGTTGGTCAGTCGTGTATGGACTCGTTCGTACTTTTGATTAGAATACATAAAAATCGTATACTAATTAGGGTTAGACGAATAAGGCAAAGAAAGAAATAAAGAAATGGTAATGGAAGGTGAGTGAAAAATGAAACCAAAATGATGTAGATGATGAAAAGGTTTTGACTAATTCTTTTAGTTAGCCGTCAATACAACAGTCAACCCTTTTATCGTAGCAATTTATTGACACTTGCTTCTGTAGATGTCGCATATTTTGTTACATGTAATTAGTAGAAGTTTGTTTAGTACCCCGTATATGTACTAAGTGAGTTTATAAATTTGCTCTTGCAATATTTTAGAGTAGTCTCTCTTTTATCATTTATTTAATATTTCACGTAATGAACAAATATAAAATGGTCGAATCTTCTCTTACAATTGAGTGATACAACATTTTTTGTGGTACAAACTAAATTTATACATTTATGTTATGGTGGATTGGATTCATGGATTGGTTCAATAATTTAACATTAAAATTAAATTTGGGATATCAAAATGTAAAATGTACATTATAGTAACTAAGTTGTAATTTAATTAACTTTGGAGAATTCTTATTACTCAAATTCTTTTCTCATAGGATCAATTCATCATTATTATCAACGGACCAATCAGAGAGAGTTCTTAGGCAACAGTAACCCAGCTTCAAATTTATATATAGTAACTAGTCTGGGATCGCGTTGCTGCGAGCTAGCTGGTCGACTCTTGTATTATGATTATGTATTGAAATTTGATTTCCTTAATCGTGGTATATTAACTATAGTATTATTTTGTTTTTATGCGAGAATCATTTTTTTATAATATGTATATACATAACTAAAAATCTCATATATAATTGTAGAAAATTGCAGTTCGAATGAGAAGGAAAAACTCTGGAGAGAGAATTAAAAGGAATAACAAGTAAAACTCAAGTTTAAAATTCCACATCTTCAAATCTCATTAAGAGATATATGAAGGAAAACGACAGTCTACTCATAAGTCAAAAAAACATCTTTTTTGAACTAAACGTTAAGTTGGAAGTTAATAATTTATTGTTTCTTTAGAGACTCATTGGTGAGTCATTTATTGAACTTTTCATACTTATAAATTGGAATAATACAATAATTAAGACTTGTTTTTTTTACAAAAGATAATCATAACTAATTAAGATTCGACAAAGAAGACAAAAGTGAATATAAAGAAAGGATTTGTCGGGTATCTATGGGGTTGGGTTTTACCGTCGGAAGACAGATTTCTTCTCTTATAAAAAAAAGAAAGAAAGGGAAGCAAAGGACAACTCAAAAATTAAACAAAGAAAAATTAGAAATTTTATTATGGTAATTAGTTAACTTTTCACGCTTCACCTCCATATTATTTTTTAATGGTTACGTATTTTTTTCAGAAAAAAATATTAAATTCAGATCAATAATGCACAATGGCAAACAACTCTCGTAGACAATTTAACTATTTTTCGACTGCTGCATCTGCAGCACGCTTTAAGTTACGTTATGTCACTTTTACACTATCTATGAACAAAGAAAAAAAATCAATCATCAAACAAATTCAAGAATCCATACAAATTCAAGAATCCATACATTATTGTTTATGTTTACTTATTCCGTACGTTGTAATTTCAGAATTCCTTTCATATATCTTTTATTTTTGTGGCATATGTTTTTATTTTGCTGTGTTTTATCTTGTTTTCCTGCGAGGAAAATCTCTTGTGTTTGATATTACTAAATGCACCTTTGACTTCTTGAACAACGATAATAACACGGTTCACACCTCTCCAAACAATGTTCGAACAAGGGTGTTTGATGATTTTGATGGTTGAGAAAACTAGTTAAATTACTCTACTCCTATGGAGGTTCAGTGAGAGCTCGAGAAACTTAAAGCTACAGCTATGGCTACTGTCATAACTGGGCAGCCCATTAGTACGATATTGTCCGCTTTGGGCCGAGCCCGCACGGTTTTACTCTTGGGTGTCCTCCCCAAAAGGCCTCGTACTAATGAGATTGGTGGACACTAATATACAAGGGTTCCTTCCCTTGTATAACCGATGTGGTACTTGGATTGTCCCATAACAATCCTCCCCTCAAGCCAAGGACCACGAACATCGTGTCCTCACCTCAGCGATTATCTTGATCCGCCAGATGCCTTCTATCGATGGGCTTCTCGATACAAGGACTTTACCAGACGCAAAACTCTCTTTGATCTGCTTCCCAAATGCGGAACTCTCTTTGATCCGCCAAGCCCAAACGTGGATCTCTCCTGGATCCACCAAACCAGATGCAGATCTCAAACCCCGAGGTCACCGAGCGAGGGTCCACCGAACTGACGTCCACCGCCCCGGATCTGCCGAACCAGGCTCTTTCCCTTGTATTACCGATGTGGTGCTTGAATTGTCCCATAACAGCTACATTGGATAGAAAGGATAAAGTTTGACATGTGTTGTCAAATGGTTGGTTGTCGAACCCTTTTCCCGTCTTTGTTTCTCCTGTTTATAGTCATCTGGGTGTAACTGCCTTGGTAACCGCTAGCTAGCCTGTTGCTCCAACCGCCTTAGGGGCCGCTTGTCGCTGCCTTGGTGACTAGTTGGTAACCGTCGCCTTGGGGGCCCTCGTCCCGTCTTGGGGCGGTTGGTACTTGATGGTCTCGATGCCGGACCGGGTTGGTGTTGAGCCTTGTCGCCCTGTCATGACTGGAAAGGGTTGAGGCTCTTTGCCTTCATGTCTTTTGGCCTAATAAATGTTGAGTTGACCTAATAACTTCATTAATCCCTTTAATTAATCGATGTGGTACAAGCTGATTTTTCTACTATATAAACATATCCCTATCTCTTCCGTCAAAGTGGCAGCTAGCTTTATTATTTCTCCATCACCCCCTTCGTTGTGACTCTAGAAGCAGTGTTAATTAGCTGTTAGGCAACAATAACAAGCTATTAGGTTTATATACACTAATGTCTGCTCAAGCAAGTGCTTCGACCAACTTATTGGGTGAAACAAGGCCAACGAAAGAAAATTCACTATACATAGCATATGGTAGTGGGCAAAATCATGATAGAGAAACAGCATTCATTCGTACATCTTGAAAAGTTAATTAAAATGATTTTTTTTATTGCATCGATTGAATAACGAATGCAAACATACAATACAACCGTCCGAACTTCACGTATATAGTGTAGGAATGATTATTTGGTCCGGGCTATTTGGTTTTACCCGAAATCGGACAGTATAATTCGGATCGGGACCGGATAGCAAACAATTCAATCCCATTTTCGAGCTTAGATTTGAAGTAAAAAAACTGTTTGTGGCCGGATCGAAAATCAAATAAAGACCGGATAGGAGAGCCCAACACCCAATATATAACCAACTCCTCATCCTTTGAGACCTCAGGTCACTCAAATTCCCACAAGTTCAATCTAAAATCAAGACCGAATTGGGACCGGACCGGGTTAAGATCGGACCGTATCCAATCTAATCTTTGATCCTTATATTCCCAAAAAAACCGAACTGAGACCGAATCAATTCGGACCAATTTAACCGAACCGGACCGTATAGCCACTCCTAATCTTCCATTAATATATGGTAGAGTTTTGTATACTTTTCTCCATTTCAAATTTCCTGCAACGAGAGTGAAAGTAGGAAGGTCATTTTTGTCTTTACACATTTATTATTATTTCATACAAAAATAGCAATATCAAGGTTTGAACCCGGGTCTCTTCAAACAAAGATAACAATCACAACCAGTTACACTAAACAAATTTATTGCATTCTTTTTGATAAAAAAAATAGACAAAGTTAATCTCTGAAAATCAGAGGACTTTTTATCATAATTAGCAAGCTCACTAAGTCTACCGTATTTATTTTTATCGAGCTTGACACTTCTATTTTCATAGTAGAGTTTCATGTAATTTTCTCAATTTTAAATTCTTGCTCTCTCTTAATTTTTGCTAAAGGTAAATGGGTAATTGGCCAACATGGAAGAAACTAATTATGTAACTACTGTTGTATCCTTGCATTTTTCAATTTAAATTTAAATTTTGTGTTTTTTTTATCTTTGTTCTTTTCTCTTTATAACTTCCTCCGAAATTTCATCCATCGTGCAATAGTTTGCGCCTTTCACTTCCCAATACAAGACTGGCATTGAAAATCAATCTTCAGGTATCTCTTGGCACTACGGTTTTATTGTTGGGGATTTTAAGCTGGGCGAGTAGAAGATTTCAACTCCGATATCAATTCATGGCGAATAGAATGGAGTTCATCAATAACTGAAGTTGTAGAAGGAAGATTAGAAATTGAATTTTTGGTTGAATATATGCCTCTTGAGATAGAAATTTGGTTGTACAACGGAGAGTGGTGGCTATTGGATCTTTATGTTTATGGTTTTTGCAACTGTCATAACCTATTTCTATCTTAAAACGAGGAATCATTGATTGATTGTTTGAAATAGGTCGCTTCTTTATTCAACCTACTGGAACTAATAGATAAGGAGTGTCTAATTTTGCGCCTTATTACTTTGATCGAGTCTATTCGTATATTGGAGATAACCCTGATTTTTTCGTTTGCTCTCAAGTTGTGATGGTCCCCTCTTAGCTGAGTTTTTACTATATAGATGACTTGAATCAACAATTCTCCATTTCTTTTTGATTAGTGACATATTGTTTCTAAAATGAGAGCATTGAACCCTTTATATAGGATTGTGAGGTTTAAGATTTAGTTTCAAACTATCTATGGGTTGTGTGAGAATTTCAGTGAGCTTTTATACTCTATATTTCTTGACTGTAAAAGAAAACTAACCAATAGCATTTTAACAGAGACTTAATTAGCATTATGAAAATGGGGTCAATGATACATTTTTATATTTTATATTCTTAAATGATTATGATATTTCTCCGAATCTTCGACCTATATATTATTTCTTTATGTATCATCTCGATCGAATGATTATCAATAAGATTAAACGGGTTAATAGACTTAAAAGTAACATAAAAATACAAATAATCAAATATGAGCATTCCGGCCAAAGGGCCGGGTTATAAGCTAGTATAATATAATGTGTAAACCGCTTGAGTTTTTAATATTTTTGAAGCCAGATCGCTGGGGTTTGCATCTATTTAACTAAATCGCTCCGATTGGCAACGATTGGGTAAACTCCTTTCGGACTACGACAATTTTGTACCGATGCAGCGATTAGCCCAAATATATGTATTTTTGAAAATTTCTTATTTAAGTAATCGTATAATAATTTTTTTTTACTCCTGAAATGAATTGCAACTTTCACGCACTAGCAACCTGGCATTTCCAATTTGGTGCTTTTTCTGTGGCGTAAGCGTGCTCCTGTTCTTGTACAATGTTGTAACATGATCGGATTTGTGGTTTTATGAGATTTGTGATCCTTTAAATGAGAATTGCGGTACGATTTAATGAACATTTTATATGCTTTTTGAAATTTGTGATATGCTTCTTTTTCCCACTTGTAGTGTGCAGTGGCGCCGGAGCCACATGGGGATGAGGTACGTAGGTCCCCAGTACTATAATTCGGTTTGGTTCGACCGAACCGAATTATAGCTTGATTCGGTTCTGTTCGAATGTCCAGATTCGAAAAAACACAGCTGCTGAGTGCTACCCCATTTTTGCCTGCTGTGCTGCCTTCTGGAACTGGAAATTTGGCATGGGGCCTCCTGCTTACTGCTGCCATTTCACAATTCACATGCCATTTATAAATTTCCACCTGCCGGTATTCTTTTGTTTGCTCGGTTTTCGACTGGTGGAGGCAGTCATGTCGATTGTGGCTTTGGAGGTTTGGAGTCTGAATTCGGAGTTGGAGTCGGCAGAAGATTGAGATTCAGTGGCGTCGACGTCAGGAGGAGACTCGGCGGCCGGCAAGTGCTTGCCTGGGTGGCTGGGTCTGGGTCACTACCCACTGGGTGGGATTGTGAGAGGCGGAGAGCTGGAGATCGGTGCCTGGCAGGCGACGGCGAGCAGCTAGGGTGAGGATCGAGTCGACTCGAGAGGAAGACGAAGCAGCCTCTCTCAGGTCAGGCCGTCGACGTCGCCGTGCTCGTGCAGTGGAGGAGGAGTCGCACTCGGCGCTGCAAGTGCGTCGGAATCTGACAGTTCCCTAGTGGCCATTTCAACTTCCCTTTCCCTTTGTCGCGATTTCGTCAATTCGATAGGCGCCTAGGGTTAGCTCGCAGACGACGATGGGTACTGGGTCGAGTGACTTGAAGTCTGCAAGGGGAGCAGGCCTAGCCGCCCAGGGCACAGGAAGCGCAATCCAATTTGTTGGACTAGGGCGGAGTGGGCTGAAAAAAGAAGACTGGGCCTCTAGTATTGACCTGAGACATTCATGCAGTGGGTTAATATTTTCAGAATTCGGTCGGTTATTCAGAATTTCGCTTCGGTTCAAACGAACCTGATTTTCGAAATTTCCCCTATTAACAGCCGAATTTCGAACCTAATTACAAGTACTTCGGTTTCGGTCGGTTTTTATTTGGTTCGGTTCGGTAAAACCGAACCTAATGCCTACCCCTACCTAGTACCACATCAAATATGAAAAACATCCATAAAAATATCAAAAGATTATAAGTATATAATTGGATAGTCAATTTTATGGTATTTTGTACTGAAATAGTGGTTTAATCATTTTACCAATTTTGACTGGATGGGGAGTTTGTTTCGACTGGGGCCGTCTAAAGTAAGATTTTGCCAACACTGAAAAAATGTGAACGTGTCCCTACATTATAAAAGCACCACGAAACACCGGCAAGCAAAACAAAGCAAATTACTAACCTTCTAGCTCCGGTCTAAACCCTTATAGTACCGGCGAACATGAGCTCCGTAAACTACACCGGCGAACTATCCTTCGCCTTCCTCCTCGCCTTCATCATCTCCTTCGTCATAATATGCTTACTCAAGAAGAAACAAGGTCGTCATGGCTCGTCGGAGCCACCGCTCCCGCCGAGCCCAGCATCAAGGCCTGTGATCGGGAACCTCCCGGAGATACTAATAGGGCTGTCAAAACGATTTCGGGTTTTCGGTTTAACCCGAACCCGAACCACCATCAATTGTCTGTGGGTTCGGTTTTCCGGTTTCGGCCCGAGGAAGCACATGTCGGTTTCGGTTTCGTAAACCCGAAACCCGACAGAGAACCCGAAAACCGAAACCTTAATGCAAACCTGAATTCGAAGGCCTACCCGATTCTTCATTCCAGAAATCCTGATCTGGGTACTCCCCTGTTTTCCAAGAAGATGGCTCCAAGCACGGTGGTTGTCACCATCGAGAAGCCAAACAACTTATCTGTAGTCCAAATCAACGCCGCCACCGCCGGCGACGATTCGCCATTGCTTCCTGCCGACAAGCAGAAAGCGGCGAGCCCCAAGCAGTTCACCTTCTCCATCCTGCTAAAAATCTACAGAGCATTCAGTTGCATCTCATGGCTCGCAGTCGGATCCAATTCCCTTTTCAAATCCATCAAGAAGAGGGTTTCCCAATCCGAGGCCTCAGCTGACGAAGTAGAAGAGCAGGACATGGAGCCCAGAAGTAGAGGGGTTGGAACTACCTCTACTGGTCGTCTATATCGGATTTCCTGCCGATGTTGAGGGGTTGGAACGTTGATGGAAAGGAAAAGATTGCTAAGGACGCCGACGAGACCATCAAAGCTTACCAAAACCCTATCATCGACGACCGAATCCAGCAGTGGGAAAGCGGAGAGAAGAATCAGATCGAGGACCTCACCGATGTCCTCATCACTCTCAAGGATGATCAAGGGAAGCCATTGCTGACTCCCCACGAGATCAAATGCCAGGCTGCGGTACGTATATAGTTGATTTCGATCAACGATAATGTATGAACTTAATTTCTGACCCGGACTTGTTTCTTCTTGTTACGATACAGTAACACATCGAAACACATAAGGGAAAGAACACTTGTATATTAGTGTCCACCTAGCCCAGTTAGTATATGAGGGGCCTTACGTACGGGAAGGATACCCAAGAGTTAATTAAACCATGCGGGACGATTGGTCCAAAGCGAACAACATCGTACTAATTGAGCTACCCGATTTCGACAGTTGTTATCAGACCCTGGTTTATTCGGTTTGGGGCAGTGGACGTCAGTTCATAAGACTAGGGTTTGAACTTTTAGTGAGAAGTTTGGCGGTAGACTTGAACCTATCGATCGATGACGTAGGTGTTTGCCATTTTTCGTGATAATTAATTAGGCCATGTCCAATGCTAGCCCCCCAAATTTGGGGATCATCCCCATTTCCTCTTCTTTTGTTCCAATGCTATGTTCTCCAAATTTGGGGATCTTTCTTATTAGTTAGTTTTTCTTTACTTAAAAACGCACTTATGATCAGCTTAATACAATTTGTTCATGTTAATTTTTGTATAGTTCGTCATCATTTTTAAATACAAATTTTTCGGTAGAATTTTTTTTTTAATTTCGAGCCCAAATTTTTTTGACAAAAAATGATTGACCTAATTTTGGTTTACATACAACACTTGAAAATTATTGATCTAATTAAACTCATACTTAATCCCCTAATTAAATCCCAATTAACCCCTAAAATCTCGAAAAGAAAAAGAAAAAGCTACGTGTCGGGCTATCGGTTGTCCTGCCCATTAGCACACCCCTCCCCATTTTTTGGGAATCCCCATTTCCATCCCCAAATTTGGAGATCTTTTTGCAGATTTTCCCCAAATATAGAGATTCCATTGATGGAAGCCAATGTTTTCCCTAGAGACTTCATTTGAGTTAACCTACCTTCCTCATATATTCCAACGATAACAGTACGATTTAATGTAACATGTCTGCACGTATCTGATGACTGGTGTATCATTCTTTGTATCTTAAGAAATCGTATCTTTTTATATATGGCAATATGGCATGGAAATAGACTATTAGGTTGGACTACTTACAAAAGGTGTTGCGTACTTATAATATACATTCTCAATTTCTGTAAGTTATGTTTATCTACTCAAGTGTGGTGAAACTGATCTCTCTTGGTACGCATGCATGCAGGAGTAAATGATGGCGGCGGTGGACTACCCATCAACGGCGGTGGAATGGGCAATGGCAGAGCTGATGAACCAGCCGGACCTCATGGCTCAGGCGGTGGAGGAAATCGACCGGGTCGTCGGACCGGACCGGCTGGTCCAAGAATCCGACATCGGGGAGCTCAACTTCGTGAAGGCGTGCATCCGGGAGGTGTTCCGGCTCCACCCTGTTTTCCCATTCAACGTCCCCCACGTCTCCACCAAGGACACCACCGTCGCCGGCTACTTCATCCCCAAGGGCAGCTGCGTCCTCCTCAGCCGCTACGGCCTCGGGCGCAACCCGAAAGTCTGGCCCGATCCTCTCCGGTTCGACCCGATGCGCCACCTCGGGAGTGATCAGGCCGTGGTCCTGACCGAGAACGACCTCAGATTCGTGTCGTTTAGCACCGGACGGCGGGGCTGCGTGGCGGCGGTGCTCGGCACGTGCATGACGGTCATGCTGCTCGCCAGGCTCCTCCACTGCTTCGCCTGGACCCTGCCGGCGGACGGCGGCGGCGTCGATCTCGCTGAAGCGGATGATGTGCTCTCTCCAGCCACACCCCTCACGGCGGTTCCGGCCCCGCGTTTGGCTCCCCGTCTGTACCTTAACCTCAACTAATACTAAATCTGTACCTTTGTACAAGTTGATGTTCCTTCAGTTTTTAATAATGATCGTTCGACATCTTATCTTTCATCTTTCAAAATATACCCGTTTGATGTTCTAAAATCGTTGGTCGGAATGTCATTTGAATCTGAAGTATTTATGATTTATATATTAAAGTTTTAAAAAAAAATATGTAGTGTGTAAATCGTGCATGAACTGTTGTGAACCCATCATAAGATTTGCTATAAAACTATCGCATCCTTATCAGTGCAGGAATGGAGTTCAAAGTGAATACTATATTTGTTTTGTTATCGTATAAGACACACTACTTTAAAGCACCGAGATGAAACAATTGGTGAATTGTTTTGATTTTTATATTAATAAATAATTCATAGGTAGATTCACCACTTTACTGGGGAGAGTATATAGAATGTTGTTGTACATGTCTCGTGTATATGGAGAGCACGATAAATGTGGATATTCGAGCTATGGCAGATTCACGACCCAGTCTTTCTCTGGATTCGGAGTTAATATAGTTTTTACGAGTTCATCGATTTCAGTCATTTGGTCCGGTGTCATGTTATAATAAAATTGTGTGTAATTAGAAAAATGGGTCAGATAAACATATTCAAATCAAAACTCTAAATTTAACCTAGAAATTGTAGCTCCAATGATTCTTGCTAAAGAAACACAAATAATGAAACCTAAAATTCTAAAAGTCTAAAACGTTAAAGACTAAAAGAAATATGAGGTTTGTTCCATTGAAAAATCACTAGAGCAGTTGGTGAAAATATGGATAGATACATAATACAAATTGATTAGTCGATTGATTTATCTAGTGTTGACATTGCCTGTTTCAACAGCTATTGTGGAGAGAACATTTTCAGCAATGAAACAGGTGAAAAAATGATTTGCGCAACAAAATGAGCGATGAATTTCTGACTGATTGGTTAACTATCTTACATTCATATTTGATAGAGAGTATGTTATTGGTATGGATGTAGACTCAATTATTGATGAAATCACTATATTAAAAGATCGGTGTGTGTATAATTGATATTATAAAAAAACTATGAATTTTTTTTTACGATATCTAATTTTTTAAAGAAATGCGGCCTAGTGCTTTACTATATCCTAGACCCGCCGCTGTACTCGAGACTATTTGTGTTATGAGTCATGACTTGAGTTTTTTAGGAGTTTGTACGATATTTCTGGTCTCGATCTTCGATTACAATACTTGGAGCTATCGGTTTGTGATTATTTCGAGGTTTTCTGAAAATGATTGTTTATTCCTTGATTTGGTCCGGTTATGATTCTATAAGTGAATTCTTGGTTGGTTTATTTACATCTACAAGATACATAAAAGCAAAACATGGGTTGGAATTCTCCCATTTCAAATTTCGTGGCCTGAGAGTGATTCTAGGAAGGTCATTGTTGTCATTGCACTCAGTTCATGGTTATATATGAAAAAAGTTATCATTGGAGTTCGAACCTTGGTCACTTGAATGAAGAAAGAACATTAACCAACTAGGCTACCTTTTATTTATTGTTATTTCTTTGGTTGAACTCTAGGAATATTTTTGGTGATGATGCTTCTATATTTCTATTTTATCTTAAACTATTTATATTTTATAGAAAGAAATTAGTTCTGAAATCGGAACTCAAGTAGCATTGATTCAAACATTAATATTAAATTGTATGTGTTGTTTAGTTCAGACTAAATACAGAATTGTAATCAAAATGTGGACCTTTGTGACGAGTATAATCATTTTTTGTGACAAATCTACACATAATATAATGATAAAATTGAAAAATGAGAGTCTCATTTCAAGTGTCGTGGTCTGAGAGTGATCCTAGAAAGCTCTTTTTCGTCATAGTGCCCAATATATCTTTATATTATTTGTAGATTTGTGACAAAAAATTATTATATTTGTCACAAAGATCAATGTTTTGGCTACACATATGTATTTTGTCTAAACTGAACCACACATACAATTTATTATTTAATGTTTGAATCAATGTTACTTGAGTTCCGATTTCACAATTATCCCTTTCTATAAGATATAATAATTTCATGTAAAATACATTTCCTACTTGGTTGAAGAAGCTTTTTCTATAAGATATATTCAATATTTTAAGATTTTCTATTTCAAATTTCGTGAAGCGAGAGTGAAAGTAAGAAGAGTATTTTTGTCATCACAATTATTATCTACTTCATATGAAAAAGTATCAATATCAAGATTTGAATCATGGTCTCTTCAAACAAAAACAATAATCACAACCAATTACACTAAACAAATTTGTTTTTATCTTCATAGATTGTAATCATTTACTAAGTGAAGATTTGAAAAGCAGAGGACTTTTCACGGTTAGCTAGCTTATTAAATCTTTTGAAAAGCAAAGTTTAATACGTGATTTATAATTTTATAACCTATAAATGATGGGTAATCTTAAAATTGCAACACAAATTTCATTGCTTGGAATATTTCATATCGAACTGTAGTATTGAATATGAAAAAGCGATGTAGAATTTTGTAAATTAATATGAATTTTCAGAACTAATACGAAACAATAATATTTTGTACAAACTATAGGTTATTGTTTCTCTAAAATTTTAGTTTGTTTAACTGCTAAACGTTAAACTCTTGCTAATCGGGCATGAATGGACCCGACAATAATGAGACGATATCGAGTTTAATGTGATGTTCATTTCGTCAGTTTTGGATAGGATGTGTTGATCAATTTATAGGGCATTAACATATAAATGAGTTATAATTAACCTTATTATACAATTTTTACTCTTTATAATAATTAATTGGGCTAATACCACTAGGAAACTCAAACTATTAACTTTGTGTCATTTGTGTCCTAAAGTATTCGATATGACATTTGTGTCCTAACGTATGATAGTTGTGTATCATTTACGTCCTGACAATTTTGTTGACCGTTATAGATAACCGTTGACCAAACGGTCAGCCATAAAATGTTGACGGTTGATTACATGGCACATATGTGGCAGCCACGTATGCGCCACGTCAGCTGCCACATTGTTATTTTCAAATTAAAATGAACAATTAAAATACAAAATACAAAGGAAAACTTAAATTGAAAAAAATAAATCCTAGCACCCCCTGCATCTTCGCCAGAGTACCCTCTGCATCTCTAACCCTGGGTTTTGAATGTTGCGGATCTTCTCTGGTGGCCTCTGGCTTCCTCTCCAATCTTCGGCTACCTTGTTCCAATCGACGTCGTCTTCTCTGAGATAGCTCCCAGCTCCATTCGATATCTTCTCCAACGACGTTCCAGCTCCAGATGTCGTGTGTACTGGTTGCCGACAAGGAGGCGGAGGGAAGCTTGAACCCTTACCAAATCATTGATGGAAACCTATATAGCCAAAACCATCTCTGACTTTGCCGCATTTGAATTGCTCTTCATCGCTGCAACTCTAATTTCAACGTTGTCGTTTCTGGGTTTCATTGGATCTGGGTTTCAGCTTTCCATTTTCCTCCAATGGATTCCTCGTGATTGTTTTCCACCTAGCTTTTCCCCAATGACGGCGACCACTTCCAAAGGTTTCACGACTCACACTGCTTAGCTGGATTTCGAGCTCGGCCAACACCTATTCGGCATTTCTCCGTTCCTCGATGGCAGCTCCAGGAGGAAGACGGTGAAGAAGAAGAGTAGCAGAGTCTGTGTACAAGGCTACCAGCCGCCTCCTCCTGTTAGCACCATCTCTTGTTGCTGCTCTGACTTGGTCGGTCCGATTCGACGGAGTGCCACCCGCTCGCGTAGTGGCAGGCACACAGCCGAGGAGAATTGTCATCGGAAGCTAAGAATCAGATCTAATAGTCCCACATTGTTGTACGCTTCCCCTCGGTAATATTCTCGATTTTTTTCATCGTTGTTAAGGTTTAAATAACTTCATTTACGATTTTTGGTTCGCTTAGATCCTGCTACTGCTCTAGAACAAGTTTCAGTCGGTGAATTAGTTTGCGATTTTCCCAGAGTTCCCTTTTGCTTAGTAATGGTGGTTTACTCCCGCAGCGGCGGCAGAGATTGGGAGACGGAAGAGGGAAGGGTGTATATGTTTTTGTTTTTTTTTTTTTATTTCTGTAATTTTCATTTCTTTTCTTGGAAAATAATTATAAATTAATATTATAAATTCCACTTAAATGCCACATCAACACTGACTAGACTTTCTGTTAAAACTAACAGTCAATGCTAGTCAATTCTAACTGAAAAATAGTTTAGAACACAAATGTCATATCGAATACTTTAAGGACACAAATGACACAAAGTTAATAGTTCGAGTTTCGTAGTGGTATTAGCTCTAATTAATTTAATCTTAATATTTGTGATGTTTGAAATATTTTGTGTATGATTTAGAGGTATAATTGTTATTTGTGACATTCGTTGTAGTTTATTCAAATGTAGTATTTCATCGATTGTCAAAATTGAATACTGGGTGCATTTATGACTGTTTTTATCTTGGTGTTGTGAATAGGTAGAAACTTAATTATTACAATGCATATAACTATACCTAGGCACATGGTCGATCTAACCATGAAGACAATGTATATGAATCGGCCATGTATTATTATTACTTGAGTTCCGATTTCACAATTATCCCTTTCTGTAAAATATAATAATTTCATGTAAAATATCTTTCCTACTTGGTTGAAGAAGCTCTTTCTATAAGATATATTCAATGTTTTAAGATTTTCTATTTCAAATTTCGCGAAGCGAGAGTGAAAGTAGGAAGAGTATTTTTGTCATCACAATTATTATCTACTTCATATGAAAAAGTATCAATATCAAGATTTGAATCATGGTCTCTTCAAACAAAAACAATAATCACAACCAATTACACTAAATAAAATTTTTTTATCTTCGTAGATTGTAATCATGCACTAAGTGAAGATTTGAAAAGCAGAGGACTTTTCACGGTTAGCTATCCTATTAAATCTTCTGAAAAGAAAAGTTTAATACGTGATTTATAATTTTATAATTTATAAAATGACGGGTAATCTTAAAATTGCATCACAAATTTCATTGCTTGGAATATTTCATATCGATCTGTAGTATTGAATATGCAAAAGCGATGTAGAATTTTGTAAATTAATATGAATTTTCAGAACTAATACAAAACAATAATATTTTGTACAAACTATAGGTGACTGGTTCTCTAAAATTTTAGCCTGGTTAACTGCTAAAGGTTAAACTCTTGCTATTCGGACATAATAGACCCGACAATAATGAGACGATATCAAGTTTAATGTGATATTCATTTCGTCAGTTTTGGATCGGATGTGTTGATCAATTTATAGGGCACTAACATATAAATGAGTTATAATTAACCTTATTATACAATTTTTACTCTTTATAATAATTAATTTATTCTTAATATTTGTGATGTTTGAAATATTTTATGTATGATTTAGATGTATAATTTTTAGTTGTGACATTCGTTGTAGTTTATTCAAATGTAGTATCTCATCAGGTAGTCAAAATTGAATACTGGGTGCATTTATGACTATTTTTATCTTGGTGTTGTGAATAGGTAGAAACTTAATTATTATAATGCATTTAACTATAGCTAGGCACATGGTCGATCTAACCATGAAGACAATGTATATGAATCAGCCATGTACAAGCATGAATGCTTCATGGGTCGTACCAGACTTATACTTCAAAGGCTCGCACACAAGTTCGAGCACCACACAGTCTATATTGGTGAACTCATGTTTTATGGAGAAATGCGCCATTTGATAAAAATAAAACAAAATATTCTAAAAATAACATGTAAAATTTGAATTAATGAGCCGTTTCTCACATCAACGTGTTTATTTTGAGACTAAAACATTTTCAATGTATACAACTAAAAATTCATTTATAAATTCATTCTTGATTAACTTAATAGTTGAAAAGTCTTTTTTACAGCTTGCAGTAATAACAAACAACGTCAACATTAACTTTAGAAGCAAGTAAAGTGAAAAAGAAATTGAGATTTAGTATTTCTTTGCAAATTGGGGGGGGGGGGGGGGGGGGTGAGGGAGAGAATTTTTTTGTCTAAAAAATTGAGAAAGGTTTGGAACTCATATACTGAATATTGCATATTGAATTAAAGTATTGAACATTTTGGAAGCGATATATAATTCTTAAATTAGTTAAATTTTCAGCCCGGTTGACCAATAGTCGTAGACCTTTTGCTAATCTGACACGGATCCAATAATCATAAGATGAGATTTAGTTTGATATGACGTTGGTTCAAAACCATTTTTTATGTGTAATGAATTTGTACAACAAATACATGTAAACTGAAGATGAACTGATTATGCATTTTGATTCTTTATATAAATACAATGGTTTAAGGCTTTAAGCGATAAACTAACTATACACTCACTCGATTGTTTTAGCGAGTTGCTTTTTATCACTTTTAATAATTAGTTTATTCACAAGTTGTCAAGCTACTTTGCTTCATCGAGGAATAAGCAACCATCTATTCACCAGGTTTTAGGTGCTCTGGTTTACACTATCGATTGTGAATGGAGAAGAAGCATTTCGAACGCAAAATTGGAGAAGTAATTGGGTTGTTTCTGGGTTTCTCTCAATTCCAGGTGGTCAGAAGAAAGAGGAAGGGAAAAGGGGGAGAGTTGTGAGATACAAAGCTGGGAGAGAGATGGAAGAACAAATGAAAAAACAAATAGGAAGGCAAATAAAGAGTGAGAGGACACATTTAAAAGAGGAGGAAAATGAGGTAGTGTGAAATAATTGTCCTTCCGATTTGATTAGTGGATATTCTTGGCCCTATTATGTTGAATTTTGATTCGTTTTAGGAGATGACATTATATTTAGCATATTTTTTCTATTTTAGTTTAAAATCCTAAATCAATATTATCATTTGGAAGATTATTTCCTTAATACGATTATTGTAATTTATGAGATTTAAGGGGTATTTGATAATGTCAATATTTTAGTGGTTTTTTATTTAAAGTTTGTATTGAAAGATCGTACGTAGCGGTGGTTAGACCATGAAACTTCACATCATAGGCTAAATCAATAGGTGATATTTAACAATATGAAAAGGTTGAACCACAATTAAATTATGACTTCAGTATAAAATAGTAAAATACTCTACTACAAACTTTTTCGATACGATTTTACAATCATTTGGTTCAAACAATTCTTTTACATTGGTGGAAACAAAAGTTTTAAGGCACATTTTGAACTATCTATTGCAAAAAAGCATAAGTCAGTTAGCGATAATGAGAATATGCGATTTCATGCAACCTAAAAGACACTTTGCAACTTTTATATTTTTAAAATAAATGTATGCTACTCATACGCTCGCTCATTCATCAACTTAATGACTAACATATATTCATGTAATATTATTTTCATACTTTTTTATTTATTGAATTATTTCATGAAAATATATTTGCCGCATGAAAATTACTAAATTGTTGCTAGACATGTTTGCGATCTGAGAATAATTTGGGAAGTCCGTACACAACACATTGTCCAACTAACTATTAGCGACAACTTAGCATCATGTCTTTTATATATATAATCAAGCAGCTTCAGATTCATTATCAACAGTGTGGTAAAAAAAAATGCTCTCTATTGTGAAAAACTTAAAAGACATACTAAACTCTATGAGACATTTTCTTTCATCCTAAAGGTTGATTATATATGTACTATAAGAAGCAACTATAATATTCAACTATATGGTTTAATTAAGTAATGAATGACAATTAGTTATATTCTTTTTTCATTCAATAATTATATGTAATGCTTATATTATATTTTTTTCTCTTTTTATGAAGGTCTAAAATATCTGATTGTTGTTTCTCCTAATTTGATCGACGATGAAAGACGAAATACAAAAAAGAAAAGAAATGACAAAAGTATCTGTAACCGTGGATATCCACCCGAATATGACCTAAGTGGGCAGGGTAAAACTCGAACCTGAATGATTTTCAGTGGGTCCGGGAAAAACCCGAATCTGAATATTGATGGTAATGGGTGGGCATGATTTTCTCACTATCCAACCTGAAACCGCCTGATTATACACATTCATATGTATTTTGTCTAGAAATGATCATTATTTTTATCCACATATTTTATATTTACCATACCAATATAACAATTCATGACATTGTGTTGATTGAGATTAATTTTTCTTTGTTCCGGTGAATTATTGTCATACTTTTCAACTTATATAATGTGAGTATACGTGTGAATAGTAACATGTTGCTTGGAGTTATAAAGAGTAATTATTGCCTATGGGTAACGTTGGATACGTGAAACCCGAACGATTATGGACATAGTTTTTATTTTCTACCCGATTCTTATGTGGGTATGGATATTAGTAAAACCCAAAGTATTTTATATTTTGGGTAAAGTAACGGATATGCATTATTCTCCCGACCCTTTGCATCCTAAAAGAAAAAATACAGGCCAAGAAGAGGAGTAATTGTCATTATGAAAGAAGGCGAGAGGCGGAGATTTCATTATGTTCTTGATAGGAGAAGGAGGAGAGATTTGTCCACTACATATATCAGCACGTGTTGATGATTAGATGGTAGGTTAGGGAGGAAAATGACAGTAGGACACTTTAGTCTAACTCTTATGCAACCGTAATCATGTTGTTACTTTAATAAGTAAGTATCTAGATAACACATAACAGTAGCAGCATGAGCGTTGGACGTGCTTTCCAGCATCTTGGGGGTGGAATTTTACTGTGTATTTGGAAATCCGCCTTCTGCCCAACAATACTCTCAAATCTCATAATCGTCTCCACACAGATCATGAGTAGTGAAGGTTGATGTCCTGTAAGTAACCAAAATAATACTAATAATGCAGAACATTCAACCTGCTATTGGTTCGAACTTTTATCCTAATCGAGAGATTACATGTAAAAAAGTTATGACTATATTTGTCATTTTTTAAAGCTTTGACAGCTTCCCCTATTTCATGGAATGCATTGCTCATGGTTGCCCTACCTATTTGCATCTCATAAGACGATATCACAAACATTGAAGATAACTCTTAATTCCAACGATAGTTTGATTTAGATACACACTTTTTTTTTTTCAGAAGGGAATTAAGGTTTGGGAGGGGGAAGGATTAAGAACATTGATTAACAGAAGGCGGAATTTTTCAATCACATTCTCATAAATAAACTAACTTATATATGATGATGATGATCACCATTTCCAGAAAACATTGGAACCACACTTGTACTTGTCTTTCCCTTTGCACTCCAGATCCAAGTCATCAGAAATGAATGGCACTTTCTGCAACAACAAAAAAGACGACAACAACAACAACAATAAAAAAAAGTCAGATAAAAATTATATAATGAGGTAATTAAAAGTAATTAAGACTATATTAATTAATTATAATTTTATAACCTTCTGCTTAGCAAGGTCTTGGCAGCCAGTGAAGTTCTCAGGGAACTTGCAGGACCCAAACTGCACTGTGAATGCCCTGGCAAAGTTTGCTCCACTTGTTGCCAGCCTCTTCTTGTCGTTCAGCTCCTGAATTACACCAAAACGACATTATATATGCTTTTTGATAGTTCCTTCACAGTTCACACTGAAATAACTGAGAGAATGATACAAAATACAATGTCCATCTTCCAAATCCGAGTTATTAACATGAATTGGTCTAATGATAACGTGGACATATATATACCGATATTCTAACCGATTACAGATCCTAGCTCCAAGAAGAAATGGCACACCACACTTTGGATTCGAATCTTTGCTTATACGACTGAAAGGAAAATATAGTACCTAAACTCGAGTTATTGGAAGAAACTGGACGAAACTCTAATCCAGATTTTACTATGTACCTTGTTGGTTTTGCTCTTCTCGAGGTAATCCTCGATGACTCCAGCGTTAGCAGAAGAAGCAGTTGCGAAGAGGGTAGCTGCAAGAATCCCCATTGCAGCTCTCCTTCCATTTCCAGCAGCAGCAGCACCCTGATTCTCTCCAGCTTGCTGTTGCTGGGCTCTGATCACTGGGAACTTAACTGTGGAGGAAGAAGATTGCTGCTGCAAGTTTCTGGTGGCATTGCCTAGATCAGAAGTGGCTGCGTAGTTGCAGGCAAGAACACTTGAAGAGGAGCTCATCATTGAAGCAGCCATGGATGGTAATGGTGATGGTGGTGGAATTTGGTTGAGAGCTTTTTTTCTCTCTTGTGGGTGGTTTTCTTGCTATTTCAGCTTATGGGAAGAATTGGGGAACTTTTGTGTAGTGTGTGGAAGCCAGGAGCCTTGGTGATTGCTGATGTGGAAGGGGATTGGATAAGGTTGGGGCAGATTGAGCTCTTCTCCTATTGGTCTTGTGATTCTCTGCTGTTGTTGGTTCTCTTATTAGGATCAGACTTGTGGCTGGCAATGGCTTGGTGCTGTTTTTGGATTTAATGGTGACCCACAAAGTTTGTGCTGACTGATCTAGTTTCTGTTTGATGATAATCTGGCTGATTGAGCTCTTTCACTTGATAGCAAGGATTTGCTTTTGGGTGGAAATAGAGGGTTTAGATTTGATTTCTCGATAATCTTGAAGCTAAAGGTTTCGTGTTTATGCTCCAGTTACGGTGATGGCCAACAATAATTCGTAGATATCATCAAAGGGTGACTCAAATGATGAGACGCGATGGTTGAAACAATTTGCTCCCGATTACTACAGAGATTAAGAATAAATTTAGAGAGTCAAACTACTATGTTAGTGAAGTGGTAATCTGTTTTTCTTTCTTTTTGTACAATAAGGAATATCCCATTATACCTTTACACAGACAAAAAAATTATGAATTAGTACTAATAAAGGAACATAAAAAGAAAACAATGCTAATATTCATGAAGATTGGGTTTCAAGAATCAAAATTGCTTGGCCAGCCAGCTATCCAGCCTGAGTATCAGATCTCATCACTTGGATCTGCAGATGCATTCTGGATATGGATTCTGATAAAACGACTCTTCCGTCTTGAAACGTGCTCTTCCTTTGATCCCTGAAGCTGCTCCCTTCCTTTTCCTTGGACCTCCTTGCCTGTTTGAAAGAACACACCATACGGAACAATTATGATTCACAAGGTTTTTTTTTTAACAAACCAAACGGAATCCGGGGAAGGGAATTGTCTTTCGTCGTTCATAAGCCACACCTGTTCCCGTGCATCTGTTGGACCAGTTCAGGTAAGGAATCTTCGTTCACCTCTCCGTTCTCGAGCTTATCAAATAGCTCCACCAGTCCTTTCCTGTCGGGGTTGATGGTCTTGCGGTGGCCTAAGAATCTACGGTGGCCTTCCACAACTCTTGCCATGTTGCCCGAGTGTGAAGGAACGAAGACGTCGCTCTCTACTGATATGATATAGTCCAGTGCTGCAGTTTGAGTTGCATGAGCAGCAAATGGTCTCAGTTCCTCCTCTGTTGCCAATGCTTCCTGATGGTGTTTGATGACCAATTCGTAGTAGAACAGATGAGAATTGAGCAAATATTGAATCCATAATCAATTGCAAAGGAGTAGAGAAGATGAATAGCAATTCGATTCAAGTAGCAAAAGTATCAACCAACCTTGGAAACAATGTTGGGGAAGCGAGACCTGAGCTCTTGGAGATGGGACTCACCGCCATAGATTTCTCCTGCTGCGATATAGATTACAGTTGATGAAGGATAACCAAGAGCCTCAAGAAATATGCCCACCTCCCCTGGGGTAAGAGGACATAATCCTTCCATCCTTTGTTCCGAGGAGTTTATCTTTTTCACTTTCCAGTGGTTGGTATTCTCCCTGGGTTTATCATGAACAAAGGATTAAAGCTACTCCATATGTTAAAAAATCTAAGTTACCAATACAAAGCCAAAGTAAATTTCCCTCTTGTGTTCTAAAATAGGCAACAAGAAAGCCTCACCTCATTATCCGCAGCTCTTCTGACTCGACTTTGGTAAGTCCATAGGTGCACCCTGTGAAAGAAAGCATGTCCTTCTCGTATCTCAGATGAAGAGCAATGTATTTTTCACCACGTGATCTCAGGCGCTCCACTAGCTTCTGTGGTGTCATCGGCACATATTCTCAGAACCTAATATGACAGCAGTTCCCCCCACGGGAATACTCTCAATACATCAATACTGTAAAGAATGTAGACCCTGGATCACATGCTTTGTCTAGTAAAGGTGAATTAATATGGGGATTTGAACCGTGCACCATTTTGAAGTAATCACAGACGTGGAGCAGAATATGTTCCAGGTTTCGACTTCAGCAAAGTTTTTTAGACTTTAACACTAGATGAAGAAAGATACATGGGAGGGCACGGGTTTCAAACCTTTCCAAAGCTTTCAATTGGAGGCGAGAATCGCAGAGCCTCATACAGGGCACGGCATCTCAACCTCTGAACATCAAGAGGCAAATCATTGTTTGCTAGACGAGAATCTGATTTTGGCGCATGAACCACCTGCATTAAGTTCTACTTGATAAGCCACCATAACTAATGAACTATACATTGTTCTTGGAAGAGAGAGAAGAGTTTGAAATACGTCTTTTAATATGATAAATAGAAGAAAAAGAAATGAACTGGAAAAAGGCATTTGGATTCTCGATGTGATTGAATCTTCTCCTCTTACCTGAAAGTCATTCCATATATGAGCCATTTCTTCATAATATCCCAAGCTTGACCATGAAGTGAAGTGTTTTCTAGCATGAGGAATGGCCTGCAAGTCTTTCGGGAGCTCTTTAACGATCTTCACGTCATCTTTTAAGCTTGTAATGAAATGAAGTTCATCGAATATGTCCGGAAAAGTACTGCATAAACAGATAGATTTCAGTAACCATAACAAGAAGTCCAAAACCAGCAAATATACAAGTTCCCATCTCAGCAAGAGAAATCCAGAAACACCTTGAGTCTTGCCAAAATGACCGCTTATCCAGCTGAGGAATAACTAGGGTCGCATTCATGATTCGTGCAACAGCCACCATATCCGCAATCTGCAATGTCCAGCATGAACCTTAGCTTTTTTATTATCTGACTAACAGCAGGGTCGAAAATATCTAACTTCTAAACTCGAGCTTAGCGTGGTAAGAACCATTTCCCACTCCACCATTTACCATAAAACGCATGAGAGGAATAATCCTAATAAAACAGGAAATAACAGTCCCGAGCTATCCAGAATCTACTTTCTTAACACAAACCTTCAACGTCACATTCTATCTCTATATGTTCATGGCTTCAAATACAACAAAATGACGAAAACTCGATCAACTTACACCAGTGCGCATTTGATTCAATCCGCCATTGCTCCTCACGGTTAAGTAACGATCCAATACTTCGGCCGCAGCTGATTTATCCATAGAAATATAAAGAAACGCAGTGTTATTGTGAATTCAGCAAGCAGCACGAAAAGAGAGCATTTTGAAAGAAACACCAATAATCAAAGTTCAACTTCCTACTTCATATCGAGTAAGCATAAATAAGCATTGGCAGAATTAGATAGCTAAAAGATCTTCAGTCTCACGAAAAAAACCTTTGTATTTAGAAGTGGGATTCAGGCAAGGGCGCAACCCGCGGCTCGCCGGAGGATCCCAAAGCCGGTCCACCGCCGCCGAATCAGAACCCTTCAGACTTGCCTGGTCAGTGGTAGGGAGGAATTCCTCCTCGATAATGGCCGACCCTCGCCGGAAGAAAGGGACTGGATCGGCATCGTCGTCCAAGATGCGGCCGGTGTTGAACACGAACATGATGATGGAGAAGGCGAAGAGGAAGATTGCGTATAGCGCGACGGAGAGCGGGGTTAGCCTTCTGGAGCGGAAGAGCCATGGCGAAGATGAAGAGCTTCTCCCATGGTGATTCGGCTTGCCGCTTAACATCGCTCGCCCTCTCTCACTTTTCCACTGTAAGGGGCGATTCTGAAACAGAGTGTACGCATTTTATTGCTTGAAAGAAAGGGAAAAGGAAAAATAATTGGAAAATAAAATAAACGAAGAAATGGTCAATTATTATAACATCACTGAACTTCAAGTCACTGACATATTGGTCACTAATTAATCGTTTCTGGCACTAATTGTTTTTGCCACAGTAGTTCCCATTTCCCAGTTCCCACCTGCGTTGATTCCCTCCGGAACGAAGTTTAATGACCGTTTTGTAATTGACCTTGTTTTATAATTTCCTTTTTTCTTTTTCGTTTTTTTTTAAGTAAATAAATATGGGGAGAAAAAGGAAAATAAAAGCCCAATCTTTCCGCCTCTTAGTCAGTCAGCTCAGCTCAGCTCAACGGGTCGGGGATCATCATCCGTCGTCGACGGCGATCGGAACCAAAGAGAAAGCCATGATTTTTGTCGATGGCAACCCGTTTCCCGCCACTTCCTCGCGTCAGGTTTCCCATTTCTTCCCTGCTCTTTCTCCATCATTCTCCTTTTTCCCAATCCTTCATACCTAGCTGGCTATTAGTGTTCCCCTCCATCCAAATCGACAATAAGTTAGTTTTTAACTTCCGTGTTTTGTGAACGTAGGGGAAGGAAGTTATGTTCGGATTGATGGAGCATCCGGCGGTGGTCGCAGCCTCCGATGCATTCAAGTCTTTGACGGAGAGGAAATTCTCGGTTTTGGAGGATCCTGGATTGCAGGATCGTAGATGGGTTTATCTCTTCCAGAGAGAATACGCTACTGTTGACCCTTCGCTTGTGGATGTAAACCCTCTTCTATTCCCTTTTCATGATGCTTTTTTGGTTCTCTAATGGTGAATGTTGAGTGCTGAATGCTCTGTTGTTTCTCTTGATATGAGTTTGTAGTCCATCAGAAGCTTGTTCATTCTCTTAATTTGGATACATTGATTGCATATGAGCATGTTGATTAAAGCAAGGAATCTTGTGCTTATGATGGATATTAGGATATCATCGAATTGATATCCTAGGTACTGGTTTCTCCATTAGCTAATGAACTTGTATTCGTGAAAGATTACTATAGAGAATGAGGTCATTGATGGGTACATGGATTCATAGTATCTTCGATTCTGGTTTATAATGATCTGGTCTTCTTCTTTTTCCATGCAAAGTTCATTGGAACTGATGAAGCAACAACTTGTATAGGTGTTGTCATCCGAAACCAGAAAAATGGAATGTAAGAACTAGTTGTGCTCTCTGATGTTGAAGAAATATGGCTATAAAAATTTGATCAAATGTCTTGAGTTTGTAACTGGGGTTTCTGGTTCCTGCAGGATATCAGTTACGCATATGGATTCCCCAAAAGTTGTCTCGATTGGCCTTGAACAAATGTTGTTACAACTTGCTGCTGACGATTCTGATGCTGAGTATGATGTACTGTCCTCTCATTTTGATAGTACTGTTTTTTTTTTCTTTTTTCTTTGAGCTAGTCCAAATTCCATATGTTGATACACTTTTTTCCTGCATTCGTTTTTGGCAGGTCCACATAGTTGGTGCATTTGATGATGATACGCCCAATGTCTGGTTGAAAGACTCTTCTTTTCTGATTGATAGTATGGAGTTGATTGCATCAGCTGAATGATTAACATCATCTTAATCTCTATGTGCAGTATGCTAGCAGCCCCTCTACAACTAAGCAATCATCAAAATTGGATGGTTATTCTCTCCCTTTGTGTACCAAAGTAGTTGAAGCACTAGGAAAGAGGCAGGAGAGGTTTCACATGAGAACTCTCTTCATTCTTGGTCATAATACAAAGTGGGATGCACAAAACATTGCATATCCAATTTTTAACGGACTGCTGGTTAGTATTTGCTATATGTCAAGTTTATTTATTCATGTTGTGTGGGTTTGATCATTGAAGGAAGCAACAGATGGAAAATTGGAAGCATTGATCTGTCCTGTGTATCTCCTATCTGTGTTTCTTCATTGGTTTATGTCGACATGTTGGTCAGAATTTTCATGTTGTGAAATGTTGCCCAATAACGATTTCCACCTGGCTGCAGGTTGAAACATCTACAGGGTCTGTTTTTCCAGCCTGCTTTGATAGAACTACAAGATGCCCAGATGAAGTTGTGAGAAGAATTCGAGTGTCAGCATCATACGAGGATCCGACCTGGAAGGGCAAATTATTGGACACATATGATACTCAAACTGATCAGTTTGTGATTGCTCCGTGTTCTTGGTATGCCTGACTTTCTGTCTTATACATGCTCTTTGTTGAATATTGACTGACATTGGTAACATTCTGTTCGTGATAAATGCAGGAGCTTTTACCAACTCAATGTTGCCTTTGCTCTACAAGATCTGTCTGATGAAGAGATCCTTCTTCAGTGCTCCACCTCACCTTCTGCTGAAGGCCCAGATTTTGTGAATAACATGAAAAGGTGAACACATTATGGAACCTCTTATCTTCTTTCTTGTCCATCTTTAGGAGTAAGTAGTTATCTATAGAAGGGATGTTGAGGCGAATCCAATCTGCTGTGCGACTAGTTATAAGAAACCATAGAATACTCCTGTTTAATGTACTTGTGAAACTTGTTTCAAATTCCATGAACCGAGAAATGCGTTCAACACAAGTACTATATTAGGAAGGACACTGGCATGAATAGGGAGTGGAGAATTGTGAGAGTAAAATATGCTAGATGGATATACAAGACTTTAGAGGAGCATGGAATGTTTACAAGATGCTAACTATACTCCCCTACACAAGATCAAGGCTCGGCATTAGATCTTTTCACAAAGCAGTTGAGCGTTTGATTTTCTCAAAAGTCCAAGCAATCATATCAGCAATGGTGGACTTTGATCTTCTCTTATTGGCATGTTTTGTGTCTGTGTGTGTTAGTGTTGTGGTATATGATCCACGATTGAACCTCTCCCAACAACTCGAGTTATTGGGACCAACTGGTTTATGACAGTACGTTTTGCAGGCAGTGGGAGTATCTATTCAGACACCCAAAATGGCAAGAGACATTCCCCACAAGACAAGCCCGAGTATTCGTCAGAAGTGCCAATGGGAGCTGGGATTTGCTGCCCCTGTCAGACAAGGATGCTTCTGGTCATGTTTCTGGTATATGATCAACAATTCCTTTGATTTAGCTATGAGAATGAGGTTTTACTTGGCCTAATGGCGCATATTTATTCATTTCGGATGCGGTTGAATGTGATGTTTTGTATGGTCAGAATGTATTTGAGAGAGTGATATTCATAACAACATAGAGCAAGTATAAAGTATTTGAAATTTTTTGTCTTTTGTCCTGTTTCGGACACGATTCCGTGTGTATCAAGGCAATGAATCACATAATAGAATGTATTGCAGATGTAATATTTACTTGCAAATAGGGCACCCAAAGATTAAAAAACATTCACAGGGAGTACTTACTAGATGTTTCAGTAGGAAATAATAGGTACAAAGAAAAAACTGAATTCATACCAAAATGAAAATTTTCCATTTTGATAAATGGATCAATTGAAAGGTGTTTCCTTTTCTTTTTTTCCTTGTGCTCCACGCAACTAACCAATCAAAGTTACTGCTACTATGCCTCCTCGTAATAGTTCGTCTCCAGATCCTGAGCGGTCTTCTTGGGCAGGATGCCGCCCCACTCCCCCCAGCTCCGGATGGCGTCTCCAGCGCGATTCCTCACCGCCGACAGCGAGTTGGAGAGTGTCCTCCCGAGGACGCCCTGCTCGCCGCCTCCGCCGGGTTGGGAGACCGGGAGGGCGGCTGATCGGCTCTTCTGGAAGCCTAGGACGAAGGAACTCATTTTTTTTAGAGGTGTTGAAAAAATGAAATGAAAGGGAATGGAATTGAATTGAATGTATGTTGAAAAGAGGTGAAGAAATGGAGTTATGGAGGAGGAGGAGAGGGCGAGGTGGGTTTTGATGAAGAAAAAGAAAAGCAGACAGCTCTGCGATGCGAATCACATGCTGGTGGTTGGTTTGCTGTGCTGTCCTGTGTCTGGGGTCCAGGTGGCGGTGGCGGTGAGTGTGACGGGGGCGGGGAATTGTATGCGGCTGGCTTTTTCTGTCTTTCTGCTTCGCTGGATTTCACTTACCGGCTGGTTGATGCACATGGGAAACGACGGCGGAAGTTTATTTTTTGTTTTGAAGCGGCGGGGGAAGGGATCGGAGAACGCGACGACGGCGGTTTAGTGATTGGGTTTTGGGAGCGTGAGTAAAAGTAACGACTTTGTTTCTGAGGAGAAGCTAAAGCTAGATCTGGGTCGAGAAACCGGCCGACGATCTACGCTCGGTCGTTTCCACGCCGGCGGTGATTGAGATTAATGACACAAATATTGTTTTTTTTAATTTACCAATAATATTGCAAATTAAAAAGTATTGACACAGATATTGTGTTTTTTTAGTAAGGTTTGGGGCGGGACCACCTGAGATTCAGGCGGGACTGATTTTTTACCCAGTCCTGGGTGCTGGCGCCCCAGTCTCAAGCGGCCCCGCCTCAATCACATTTTTGAATCAGTCCTAGGCGCTGGCGCCTGAGTCTCCAGCGGCAGCGCCCCAGCCTCTTTTTTTAAAAAATACCGACCTCGGGTCCACCTTATCTCCTCTTCTTCTTCCTTCCTCTTCTTCACTCCTCCACACCACATATCCCACATCTCCCCCCAACCCCGAACCAGAGAACCCTCCCTTGGTGCCTCCCGCCGCAACCGCTGCCGCCCAAGACTAAGGCGCCGCCGCCCAAGACTGAGGCGCCGCCGCCGCAGAGTCGGGCGCCGCCGCTGCCGAGTGGAGCGCCGCCGTCGAAGACTGAAGCGCCGCCGCCTTTGACAGAAGCATCGCCGCCCTTGACTGAAGCGCCGCCGCCCGAGATGTCCTCCGACGAAGAACCAGTCGCCGCCGGCAGAGGTAGAGGGAGAGGCCGGCGAGGTCGTGGTGGAGTCGGCGGCCGTTTGCGCGGTGAGACTCTCGTCGGCGGCTTGATTTTTTTTTTAATGTTTTGTTGCTTTGTTTTTGCAGTTCCTAGGCTTATGGATCCTTATTCGATGAGATTACCGCCGACGACAATTGATCCAAGTCCGGTCGATCCGACACTTCTTTGGGGACATGGCCAACATCGTATCGACTCTGTTTGGACAAACGAGGTAAGTATTTGATAATTATTCATGTAAAGTTAATTAGCTAATTAGATTATTTTAGGTTGTGAACTGAACTGTTAGGTGAAATTAGTATAATTAGAAATTAGTATAATTTTATGTTATATAAGACATATTAGAATTTATTAGGTGAAATTAGAATTATTACGAATGAAAATGTATTAATATAAGTTTTGTGCACTATAGGCTGGTGATCGATCTTACCATGTTCGAGGTACGACCATTTTAGTACCTTACCATGAGCTTTATCGGCCATATCTCGAAGAGGCAGGCTTGTTAAGTGTCGTGCCCCTAGTCCCTATGAACCCCGATGCGAGTTTGATTACTGCGCTCGTAGAGCGGTGGCGCCTCGAGACGTCGACCTTCCATCTACCGTGTGGTGAGATCACGATCACGTTAGAGGACGTTGTTACACTGTCCGGTCTGGCGATCGACGGTGATGCCGTCGTAGTTGATATACCGGATGAGGAGTGGTCGGCGATCTGTTTGAGACTGTTAGGACGGGTTCCGGCTGATCTTGTAGGCGGTGTCGCTATTGTTAAGATTGTTTGGCTGAGGGTTGAATTCAATCATCTGCCGGAGAATGCATCACAGGAGGTTATAGAGCAGTTTGCACGAGCTTATGCTCTATCTCTGCTTGGAGGTGTACTTTTCCCGGATCGGTCTGGAGGTACGGTGCACCTACAGTACCTACTTCTGATTGAGGATTGGGAGAGAGCTGGACGGTTTGCCTGGGGAGCTGCTGTTTTATCCTACCTGTACCGTGAGATGGGTAGGTCGACTTTGCACATTAAGCATACCGGCACTTCTCTTAGCGGTGACCTTGGTGGATGGGTCGCCCTACTGCAGTTTTGGGCATGGGAGCGATTCCCACATCTGGCACCTCGAGATTCCGAGACGAGGGCACAGGCCACCGAGGATGCATCCCCACGTGGTCTTCGATGGCTTTCGGCCAACAGTCGTCAGTATGGTGACCAGCTATTCCAGTACAAGTTGTGGTTTGACGCGATGAACACCGTGGTGGTTAGTATATAACATTTCATTTTATAGAATAGTTTTCATTTGTTTTATTTTTTTAGATTTAGGGATAATAACGTTAATTTTTTGGTGTTTTTTAGTGGCAACCTTACCTTGAGAGAGCACTTCATCTCAGAGGTAGTGTGATACAGTCTGAGACATTTCGAGCAGTAGTGCCACTTATCTGCTTTTCATGGGTGATGTGGCATCATCCAGACCACGTGCTCCGACAGTTTGGCATGAGGCAGCATGAGCCTCATCCGCCACATCCTGAGGCTGAGGTTAGGTTTTTTCTTCGTCAGGCTACTCGTGGGCCATCGTGTGGGCAACAGTTGGTTACACGCCTCCAGAGAGTCGATTGCTTTCTGGAACCGTCGACACGAGTTTGTAGCGACAGCTCCATACACTGATGAGGAGTTAGCATACCACTCGGAGCATATGAAGTGGTATAGAGATGTCACCAGACGTTCCGGCACACGGAGAGGAGCTGCAGCAGAGGCATTGGTTAGTTATTTGATTTGTTTGCTTAATTTGTTGTTAACTGTGTGAAATATCATACATTTTGTTGGTGTTTTTTAGTACGACACTATCGAGCATGCTGAGGTGAGTTCGCGTGACGGTGTACGGGCTGGAGGGCTGACCCCCGACCAGTGTGAAGACTTGGCCAACTTTATGGCATCCGGGGTTGCTACTCTAGGGTTTGAGCAGCGTAGATACCCTGATCTCACAGTACCTGTACAACGCCATTATGAGGAGCCCGTCATGACTGCCTGGCCAGAGCGTACTGATCCGACACCGGGCTGGGTCGTCCCAGAGCCACAGTTCAGACAGGAGCATAGGCCACGTAGACAGCGACGTGAGCATCGTGATGCACCTAACCCATTTCGGGTTTCAGATCGACAGCGAGCACATCCCATCCGGCCTACATCGAGGAACTTCCAGTTTAATCCGCCTCGGTCGCAGTTTCGGTCAGATCCTTCCTCGAGCTTTCAGCCGCCGCGACGACAGCAGTTTCAGTCAGATCCGTCTTCGAGCTTTCAGCCGCCGCGACGACAGCAGTTTCAGTCAGATCCTTCTTCGAGCTTCTATCAGCCAGAGGATAGCTTCCATACACCGCAGCATGCTACGATGGGAAACATGGCCTCAGGTGGTGATACTAGAGCAGCCTCGTCTCCCGACCTGTGGGGAAACCTAGCTGAGCATGAGGAGTTTCGGGAGACGATGTGGAATTATGAGCAGCATGTTCAGTTTCAGCAGCATGGTGGCGGTCAGCCTGAGGAGCATCTTCAGTCTCAGCAGGATGATATGTTCGGTACACAGGATTAGGATGGTGGTGTTGAGGAAGATGAGCCCCAGGAGTATGATGGTAGACCAGTGCGTAACAGGGTTCCTGCTAGGTGTGGTACTGGCGGCCATCTAGCGGTGGAGCATGGTGGTCGTCGTGGTGGTCGTCGTCGTGGTGATCGTCAGTGAGACTATTATTATTATGTACTTCCTTATTTTTGGATTGTTATTATTATGTACTTCCTTAATACTATTATTTTTGGATTGTTATTATTTATGTACTTCCTTCAGACTATTATTTTTGGATTGTTATTATTTATGTACTTCCGTTAGACTATTATTTTTGGATTGTTATTATTTTTGTACTTCCTTTAGACTATTATTTTTGGATTATTATTATTATTAACTATAAAAAAGATAACAACAACATACCAAACAACAACATCTCAAACAAACAACAACTTTTACATGGTAAATCAAAAGATAACAACAACATACCAAACAACAACATCTCAAACAAACCACAAGTGCAAAATCCGGCCCGGTTCTGATCGTCAAAGTGAACTGTGAGTGTGTTTGACCTCGTCATGTTGAAATTGTTGGGAGGAGTATGAACTACATAGATGCCTTGACTTCGATCAAGAGCTGTCACAGAATGTCCAATTGCCCTTTGTGACCTGTACTTCATCAGCTCTTCGCACTTGGTGGAGTACTATGAACCGCCACTTCTAATTTCTGCTCCTGTCTCCAACCTATACTTATTGAATTTCTCCACCAATCGCCAATAGGTATGCTGCACAAGAGAAGCTATAGGAAGTGCATGAATACCTTTGAAAATACCATTGACGCTTTCTGCCATGTTGGATGTCAGGATAGACCAACGACCCCCACCATTGTAGTTATCATGTGCTAAACTCCAACGAATCTGATGTTGATCCACCCAGTTATCACATGAAATATTTCTATCAGCGGCCACCTTCTTAAATTGCTCAACTTGACGATCAAACTTCTCCAACCGTTTTTCTCCGGCTAACAAAATAAACCACAACACAGGTTAGATAAATTCATGACAAAATTACATGAAAACAAATAACAAAATTAAATGAAGAAAGCTTACCGACTCGAAATAGTTGATTATACATAATTTTGCTTTTAGTCTTCCTTTGCAAATTGCTTGCATAGTGTCGCATGCACCTCCTCCACTCCCAACCTCTTCCGATGTTATTCATGGCTTCATAGAGTCCTGCATGTCTATCTGAGATGATGCATACATCATTTCGATCAGTCAAACCCTGAACCTTCCTCATGAACCATGGCCAACTCTCAATATTCTCGCTCTCCACTATGGCAAATGCAATTGGTAAATCTTCTTCCGGCCATCAAATGAGCTCGCCATGACTAGCACTCCTTTATACTTCCCAGTAAGAAATGTTCCATCCACAACCATGACGCCTGGACAATTCTTGAATCCATCTATACAAGGTCCATAAGCCCAGAATACTCGCTGAAATATTGAATGACCTGGTTGAGTCGAAGGAACTCTTACCCAATCAATCACCGATGTTGGCATTTTTCTCTTGACCACCCGCAAGAATGTTTGCAAAAAATTGTAGGATTCTTTCCAATTTCCATGCAACTTCTCCAATGCTCTTTGTTTCCCATACCAAGCCTTCTTGTAAGTAACTTGCATATTAAACTTATCTTTCAACTCGGCTTGAACAGTTAGAACACTCAGATTTGGTTGGGCACGTACCAAATGTTTGACGGCCTCAGATATCATGTCGACATCAAGATGGCGATGATCCGTCGGTTGAGTCGTACTGCTACAAGAATGCACCAACTCAGCCTTTCTCACAGTCCATTCGCCCCCAACATCTCGATATCCAAACCGCACCATCCAAGGACAATTGTCATCCTTGTGCCTCAAGCATCTGACCTTCCATATTGAAGGTGACGACTCCACCACGCCATATTGAAAGTTGCGTTGTAGTGCGTGGTGTTTAATCGCCATCTGTGCAGCTTGTTTCGAGTGAAATATCTGCCCCTTGTAGAATTCTCCTTCAAAACTATCAACAACAGGCATTGGAATTACGCCATATGAATCAGCAAGTGATAATTCTTCGTCCTCTTTATTACCCTGCAAGTAAAAAGTATGGAGGATAATTAAGATGCTCTCCTTCCTCCTCCTCCTCCTCCTCCTCCTCATCTTCCTCCTCTCCGTCATCACCGTCATCATAGTCATGATCGGATGGCACGCTCCATGTATCATCTTCTTCCTCTCCACCCTGATCCTCACTGAGCTCAACATGTATCTCAACACCCAAACAATAAGGATTTTGTGCCATAAAATTCCAAAGCACATTCAAGCTATCATCATCCACAATAGGTATCGCATAATGAAATAAAACATCATTCTGCCATTCTGGAAGACGGTAAGTGAAACCTGTGATCACATCACTATCTTTTACTGCTTTGTCTCTGCGCCGTATTCTCGGAATTAGATTCTCACAAAGTTTGTGATATGTGACTCTGGATGGAACCGTCAACTAAAAACTACTACCACCAACGAATTTGACGCCCAAATTATCCTCTACTTTCTCCATTTTCACCGAACAACTAGTTCAAATCTTCTAAAATCACTACAAAAAACAAACTCACTAATTAAAACTAAACACAATCATAATAGCATTTGAATAATATAATTACAAAAATAAATGTGCCTCTTACCTATTAGCCATTTTTGCAGCAGCAACCAGAACTCTCTCCTCTATTTTGGACGATTTTTTTTGTGGTGTGAATCTGAAACGAAATTGTCTGGGTTGGTTTTATAAGGTGGGTGGCCAGCAATAAGCCAGCGGTGCCGCCTCAGTCTCGGGCGCCACCGCCTGGGATTATTTCCCACCTACTCGCCTAGGTCTCAGGCAGTGCCGCCTGAGTCTTGAGCGCCGCCGCTGCCAACTAAATAAAACAGTCCAAAAACCAAGCTAAAGCGGCAGCGTCTGAGTCTCAGGTGGCCTCGCCGATTCTTATCTCTAAACCATAATATCTGTGTCAATACTTTTTAATTGGCCATATTAGTGGTAAATTAAAAAAAACAATATTTGTGTCATTAACCCTCATATAACTGCCATATGGCATATAGTGAAACAGTAGGACATATATACAAAAAATATGCGAGGTCCAGTTTTAACTACACATGAAAGCAAATTAACTACTTTTTCATAAGATACATAAAGAATTTAATATAAACCAGGACAATTTTATGGAAAAAAAAATATTTAGATAATTGCAAAATGAAACCATTCATTTGCAAAACCACATTTTGATTTTGTGTCTCCTATTTATTTTTGGTGTTTTCAGGAGGGAAAACTCGGTAACCATGTCCATACGATTTTTTTTTGGGTAATGTCTATTTTTTATTCAAATCTATCGAAATACTAATAATTAACCACTCTGTTAACATTCCGTCCAGCCATGCTTAGGTGGCTAACGGATTGCCACATCACTCATCCCATGTGATACTCACCTACAATAAAAAGTTGACACCTGAAGAAAAAAATCCATTTCCGTTTTAGTTAAACATTTCCTATTTACTATTCTCTCTCTAGTCTCCTCCCTCAGTGCCCCATATTTCTCCTCCTTCAACGAAGATTGCCGTCCTTACTCCCCCTCCCCTGAACAAGCCGCCACCGTAACCGCCGACCCTAACTCACACTTTCCTACCGGTGCCCACTTCTCCTCCTCCGCCTCGAGATCCCAGTTCTCCCCTTCATCCATCTCTCACAAAAACAGAATCGTCGGTTCGGTCCTTTTCCGTCTTCCCCAAATCTCTCTCTCTCTCTAACAATCTACATGTAGAGCAATGGCGACCAAGGAAGGGGAAGAAGGGCATGAGAGCGTCGATTCTTGAGCTGGCAACAGAGGAGGAAGAGAAAGAGTCGTCGGAATCTAGAGTCAGGCGGATCTGGAACGCAAAGCGGGGGCGGCGACCGAGATCGCTTCAACTCTTCGAATCTTTCCAGTTCTTGTTGTAAGAAATTGGTATAAGATCCAACATAACCTTCTCCCAACAACTCGAGTTATTGAGACCAACTGGTTATGACACGGTATCAGAGCTGGTTTGGCCAAGTGGTAGCGTGTTCGAATCTCTACGACCCCCAATATTAACAGTTGACTAAAGCACAAGGTATGGTGGGCCTGTGCAAACTTCAAGTCCGTGAGTTGGCTTTCGTTTGAGGGGGCGTGTAAGAGATTGGTATAAGATCCAGACATCCAACATAACCTTCTCCCAACAACTCGAGTTATTGGGATCAACTAGTTATGACACTCGTCGATCTCCGAAGCTGAAGAAGGCAGGGACAACGGAGGTGACCGACGATCTGTCTTCACTGGCAGCGACCCTCTTCTCCTTTCATTTGTTCGATGGATCTCGACCATCGCCGGTGGAAGAGACAACTCCGGTGGGGCGATTAGAGCGAAAGATTGTTTGGTGGTGCGTGTATGGTTGGGGCATCAAGGTCGGGATTGGGGAGATTGAGACAGCAAGGTCGAGATTGGACGGATGGGTGGGCCGGTGAGGTCTGCTTGAGGGTTGAGAAGCATCTGGATGGGGGCAAAGCAAAGCTCTGGTGCTGGCCGACAAGGGCAGAGGGGCGATGACGACGAGGTTCTCCTCATGCGGTTATTAAAATTGGCAGAGGATGCGACAAAGGAAGGGGAAAAGGCAGAGAGCCAAAAACAATTAAGAAATGTGATGAATTTCTTATGTTTACGCTTACGTGGATGCTTATGTGGCGCTCTGTTACGAAATAAGTAACAGTAACAGAATGAAAGCCCATGTATTGATTAGTTACAATAATTGTGGATAATTAATAGTATTTTTATAGGTTTGCGAAAAAGATTAACTATACGAAATTGAATTCTCCTTTAGTAAATACTAAATAGAGTGGCGGCAAAAGAGAGAGAGAAGAGGAGACGCGGCGGTGTGGTGGTGGTGGAGCCGTCGGCGGGTATTAAGAGCGCGATATTGGCGGTGTTCGGTGTTTTGGGGCTGCCGCTGGCGGTGTAGTACAGTATTCCGTTTGCGATGGCGTCGATCTACTCGCACGGATCTAGGGCCGGGCAGGGGCTTTCGCTGGGGGTGGTGAATCTGTCAATCTGTTTGCCGTAGAGGGTAATCTCGTTGGGGAGCGGGCCGTTCGACGCGGCGTTCGGCGGTGGGAACTTGTCGGCGTTCATCGTCGGGACGATGGTGGCTTTTGTTAGTGCGATATGCGCCGCTTCTATGCTGCCAAAGCCGAAGGGTGCGGCGGGATGGTTTCGAGGTCGAGATCGTTGTGCAGCTTCAGTGGAGGCGGAAAAGTTGGGTTTTTCGCGGGGTCGGAGCGAAAAGCTCTGTTTCCGGAGCAAAAAACTCCGTCTCTGCGGCTCGGAGTTCCGGGATCAACTGGCTGGTATTCGGCCCTCGTCGGAATCAAAGCTGCCGGCGGAGACGGCAGAGTACGGGACCACGAGATCGGAGCACGGGATGGCGGGAGGAAATGAAATCGGTGTGTTGAACGGTTTCTTGTGACTGCCGGCAACGATAAGCCGAGAGCAGGGGCCACCGACTCAATCGACGAACCACCAGGGGAGACAGGACAGACTGACGGTCTCTTGTGACTGCGGTTTTGTCGGCTACAATCACGAACGAGGTGGCGGTTACGCTTCTTGGCCGACGGTTCAGATAAGTACTCCCTTATCATTTATTTATTTATTATTATTTCTTTCTTTCCCTTAATAATTACCCTTCTTACTTTATTTGTTTTTAATTTTTCTTTCCAACTTTTTTCATTTTTCTCGTATGTATCTATTGCCTTCTTTTTAATATTATATACTTGCAAATTGTTAGGTCCCCGAATTTTAGGTTGTTTCCTTTTATTAACAAAAAAAAGAGGTTTATGTTTGTAAGGGGAGGTGTCGGTTATCTAGGATTTCCCGATGACCTGGTTCTCTATTTCAAGGGCGAAATGCTGCCTTGTGTCTATGTTGACTTGTTGGCTCTTTGGCCCGGATTGTCCTAGTAGGGGCCTTTGTTTGCTCATTTTGCAGGTGGAGATTCAATTGCACAATAGTCGATTGGTGGCGGCTATCTTGTCCACTAGGTGGCCTTTTGATGAGATTTGATGGAGCACTTGGAAATGACGCCCCTGATGTTGAAGGAACCCCTTGAACTCTATTAATGTTTAGTTTGATGGTGTGGTCAAATATAGTCACGAAGGTAGTATTGGCTTTGTGGGTTTCCAATCGTCAGGTAAATTTTTCTTTGCTTTCGGAAAATGTTATGAAGGATTACAAGATCCATTTGTTATACTGGAGGCCATATAGTGGTGCCTGACACATTCCTTTGTCTCTGTCAAATTTCATGGGGATTCACAACAATTGATACGACGGGATGGTGGGAGGCGACTTGGCGCATGATCGGGGTGGAGCTCTACTGGAGGATGCTCGGAGCTTAGCTTCTCACTTCAGCTGGATTTCTTACTACTTTGTTTTTCGTCGACTAAATACAACTTAGTTATGCTGCTCACAGCATAAAGTGTGAGTATCTACTCACACGGTGGATCTGTTGTCCACGTGGGCGAGGGTCAGATGGCGCTGGGTTTGGGTTGAGGAAGGGTTTGCCGGTTTGGGTCGGCTGGTCGAGCCCATGGCTAACCAAGCCCATCGGGCCCACAATTTCAAAAACCAAAAACTGAAACACCCCTTTCCCCCATTTCAGTTTCTCAATTCACTCTCCCCCCACTTCGACTTCCCCTCTCTCCCCCACTTTCCTCCTCTCACGAAAACGAAGCGGCGACGAAAAGGAAGCGGCGGCGACGAATTGAGCGGCGGCGACGAAGGAAGCGGCGGCGAGGCATCAGCAAAGCGCCGGCGAGCGAAGCGCCGGCGACTCTCCCCCACTTCGACTTCCCCTCTCTCCCCCACTTTCCTCCTCTCACGAAAACGACGAAGAAGCAAGCGCTGCGGCGGCGACGAAGGAAGCGGCGGCGAGGGACCAGCAAAGCGGCGGCGAGCGAAGCGGCGGCGAGCGCTGCTGCGGCGAGGGAAGCGGCGGCGAGCGAACCGGGATTTCGGCGGCGACGAAGGCGGGGCTTTCACGGCGGCGAAGATTTGGACTAAGGTAACTGTCTTTATACTTTGTTCATGGGTTTTCCTTTTGTTGATTTGTCTTCATGGATATTCATTTTCGTTTGGATAGATTTGAGTTAGGGTTTCATGGCTACGACTTGATCTGGGTTTTCCTTTTGTGGATTTGTCTCCATGGATATTCATTTTCGTTTGGATAGATTTGAGTTAGGGTTTCATGGCTACGATCGGGTTTTCCATTTGTGGATTTGTCTTTTGGTTTTGTGGATATGAGTTCGTTCTTCTGTGGATGTGAGTTCGTTCTTCTGTGGATGTTATTTCTGGGTTTTGTGGATATGCTTTGTGTTCATTCTGATACTAGTTCTGTTAGGCAAGATATGCGTTCTGTTCCTTCTGGATATCCGTTATTTATTGACTGTGTTGTCGTTTGATGTATCTTGATATTTGTTTATTTTGATCATGATATCAGTTATGACTTTCTTGGATAGTTGTTTGATTGGATCTGGGTATTTGTATGTGCAGATATTTAACAATGGCAAGGACTAAAACAACCAAGAGGAAACAGCGACCGACTCCACGACAGCCACCACCACCGCCCCAGCCAGATGAAAATGGAGAAGAAGAAAATGTTGAAGTCGAAGAAGAAGGAGCTGCTAAAGAAGCTGCTGAAGTCG